GTTATGGGGTTTTTTTTAATTAATAAATTAGGATTTGTTGAAGGAGGGACATATTGAGGGCAAGGTTGTGTGAAATGAAGCCTGGATCTCCCTGGAGAGGGTACCCTGATCCCCCAGGAGCAGGGTATGCAGGGACCAAAGCTAGATACAGCCGTGGGGATTTTAGGCACCAGCCCCGATGATGGTGCCTGGGAGGAGGGGAATCCCAGACACTGCCAGGTTGGGGCTTGACTGAGGAAAAGATGGAGAAGGGAAACTTTCTTTCACTTAACTGGGTTAAAATCTACCTATCCGTCCTCTGGACCTTGGGGTTTCTTGATTGAAAAATGGTTCCTGAACTACAGCCTGTAATTTCAAGAGCACTTTCCTTGGGACTAAATGTAAAGGGGCAGACGGTTCTTAGAAAACATATTTGTAACCAGCCTAGCTCTGGGGCCCATCCAGACCACACTGTTCTTGTAGCATGTCACCTGTGTCCTCTCCACTGCCTCTGCCTTCATGAATCAAGGCATATTTTCTGTGCCACTGCTTTTTATGACCCAGCACTGCTGCAAGTATTTCTCAGAGTACTCGCAGCTCTGTACCATTTGGCCTTCTGCATGTTATTTTATTACATCTGACTTTGTTCTAGAGGAATAGATTGATGGAGCCCACTTTACAGCAATAACGCCTGTATTTCCTTATAACCAATGTGTGGTTGGTAATGTTAGGAAGCCATAAATATTTGTAATTGTAATAATCAATGAGTTTTAAAATAAAAGGATAGTTATCTTTTAAAATCAAGTGAAGTTCAAGTGCATGTAAACAATAACTGGTTTTCCCAGAACCATCAAAAAAAAAAAATGCATGGTATACGGAAAGAGCTATTGTTTATTCAACCCAGCAACTTTTATGTTTCTTTTTTCTTTTTTATTAAATATTTTTTTAGTTATAGATAGACACAATATCTTTATTTTATTTATTTATTTATTTATTTATTTTTATGTGGTGCTAAGGATTGAACCCAGTGCCTTACACATGCAAGGCAAGCGCTCAACCACTTTACAGCAACAACGCCTGTATTTCCTTATAACAAATGTGTGGTTGGTAATGTTAGATCTACAAACCAAGCCTCAAATTTTATGTTTCTTGACAATTTTTTTTCAATTTGAAAGAATTTGCATTACTGATAAATTTGCAAATAAATTGAAATTTTGCTGAGATTATTATATTGGATTATTTCACATTTGTATATTTCAGTTCCACATACAATATAATAGCAGTACACTGTAATGGGTGAGGAAGATTGGAGACTGAGCGAACCCAATTTCAATATCAAGACCAGGTTGTTCTAAATAAACTTCAAAGATGGAATTCAGAAGAGCAGCAAATTTTTGACCGTCTCTTCTTTCTTCTGCTTCCTTAATGTTTGGCATTCCATTCATCTTCCCACCTTTGCACCCTTGAAGCTGAGTCTCTCTCCCAATAGCCACTACTATGATTTGAAAATTCTTTTTCCCTTCTGAAATATATATTGAAATGTCATACTTAGTATGAGATATTAATAAGTGGACAAGAGGACGTTTAAGAGGTGATTAGGGCTCTGCCTTCAATAAAGGATTAATGCATTCTTGTGATTAAGAAAATCACTGGGTTAATGGGTCATCTTAAGGGTGAGTCTGTTATAAAAAGCAGTTTGTCTGGGCTTCTTATAAACTTCCCAACTCTCCACATGATGACCCACACCACCTCAGGACTTTGCTAGAAAGAAGGCTTTGCAGATGCAGCCCTTGGACCTTGGACCAGAAACATAAACCTCTTTTCTTTATAACATTCCTAGTCTGTTGTATTGTGTTCTTAGCAACAGAAAATAGACTAAGACAGCTACCATTGTTTCCATTTTCTCTCTTGATCTGTTATGATTCTACTCCTTTTCCCCCCAATCTCCTGACCCCAGTCCTTTCCAACATTTTTCGGATGCTATGATTGGAGGATTTCATTTCTAACAAGGAGCTTTAAACCACGTGCATAGGAGGTTTCCCAGGGAAGGTTATTGACTCAGGAAAATGACCTGTCAGTCAGCTCTGCAGCCAAACAGCAGCCAAGCAAAGCCTGGCCTCCCAACTGGAGAGTTGACACCTGTGCCTCACAATGAAGCTAAACTTATTTCCTCAGCAGTGATTCTTGGACCATCATACTAGCCCTGACTGCGTCTCAAGTGGTTTTGAGAATAAATGGGTGTCTCAGTTCAGGCTTCATAGCAAAATACCATAGGCTGCGAAATTTATTTTCTCACAGTTCTGGGAGTTGGAAGTACGACATCAGGGTACCAACAGGGTCTGATTCTGGTGAGAGCTTCATTCTTGGCTCACAGATGGCTGCCCTCTCACTGTGTCCTCATATGGTGGAGGGAGAGAGGACTGGTTTCTCTTCCTCTTCTCATAAGACCCAAATTCCAACCCCAGGGCCTACTCTCATCACTTCATTGACACCTAATTACTTCTCCAAGGCTCCACCTCCAAAATCACTGGGTTAATGGGTCATCTTAAGGGTGAGTCCAAGTAAGAATGTAAGAATGTGAGTCCAAGTAAGAAGCTTCCAAGTAAGAATGCAGGGGAACATTCGTTCCCTAACAGTGGGCTTTTAAAAAGCACGCTTAATGAGATCGTTGAAAAGTCTAAAATGATTTGCAAATTTAGACTTTTTAATTAGTATTGTTACATATTTTTTTATTGTCAAGTTTCTAAACATTTCCCCTGTGCCTTGGTTTCTAAGGAAACCAAATTATTTCTGAGTAATGTTCAAAAACAGAGCCCTGGTGCAATTTGCAGTTTAAGAAGCAGAATATTAAATGCACAGAACATGGAGGCTCTGTGATGTGACATCTTTCCGTACTGATGCTTTAGTTTTCACTGGATTGTGGCCCTTTTGGCAGTGAACATACTTAAATTGAACAGAGTTCATCAATACCATATATATCCTGTAGCAGGAAAAAAGGGACCTTGAGAGAGTAAGGAACTTGGCAGATCAGCTTTGAGGGAGACAAAGGACTGGGCAAGGCTTGGGAGGTGGAGTGCTCAGAGGAGGAGGCGAGGTTGCCAGGAGGGGTAAGCATTCCTGCCCCAGCTCCAACAACAGCTGCAGAGGAGAGGCGGTGGTAGCAGGCAGGCCATTGGAGAGAAAGCACTGGAACATCAGCTAGCTATGCCATCATTGGAAGGTGGACCAATGGTAGATGGTGTGCAAGGTCATGAACACAACAGACTTTCCCCCTTGGCAGTTAATGCTGCCTTATTGCCACCAAGTGTGCGTAGTCACTGTGCTGGCACATAGGGGGCACCCCATAAGTGTCAAATGGGTGTTCAATAAATAACAAGGTATAAGCCTCCAGGGCATCCGGGTTCACCTGGCCCTTGGCAGCCATCTATTTCCTGTAGTACATCCTTGAGTTCTGCAAAGGTTCAGACCTTGAAACTCACTGGGAAAAGTTCTAGAAAAACAAGGAATGAGGCAAACTTGGTCTCAGTTACCAGGAGAATATGTCTTGGGACCTTGGATTACCTAAGGATGGATTTTTTTCAACAACATAGCTGTCAAAAAGTAGTGTCTTTTCTGTTGTTTCCATTTCTTTTTACTCTTTGAATTGCTTTTTATTTCTCCTGAGTGCCTTTCCTTTCTTATCTAGCTTGTCAGTTTGCTTTGGAAATGAAACATCCAAGCACAATATTACTTGGAATGACTCTAGGTAATAATAAAAAAAAAAAACAACTAACACATAGGCCTTTTATAGCTGCAATTGTTTTTTTTTATTTCTTTATTAACTTTTTTACAAAGAAGTTTTCAGTGGGTCAGTTCTTGCACATTAATTGCTATGACTTGTAGAAATTAATACCTTATGTGTTACTACCAAGATGCATCTTCTATTGCATTAGAGTTGTAGAGTTGTTTCAAAACTGGTTTATGATTTTAATATTTCAAATAAATCTGTTTCATGTTGTTCTTGAAAAATCTGTTTCTTCTTTTTTCTTTTTAATAGTGTTGATGTGTCCCTGAAGTTTATTTCTAGAAAGGCTTGATGATTTGAACAAAGCACTTCTTTTCTTAGAGAAGTATATACTCTAAAAAATGTGAAGGCAGTTAGTTGATTCTTTTCTGGACTGTACCATTCCATTACTTCATTAGACCTAGAGAAGCATGAAATCTCAGAGATGACCGGGACTGTGGAGCTTGTCCCCCAGGCCTTGACCTTTGTCCCCATTTTGATAAATGCAAACAAATAAGCAAAGAAGGAACCAACAAACCAACCATTAAAGACATTCTGAATTTCAAAACAAATTAAAATGAAATTGTGCTATAAACACCAAAGCAAAGCAATGTGATAATGTGATACAATGTCTTTATTTATCTCTTTCTCTTCTGTAAATCTCAAATGACTTTGATGGACGTCCTGATATCTCCAAAGGCATGTGCCTGCTCTCTGTTGAAAATGGCTAACTAGATTAACGCTCTCACTTTACAGAGGCAAAAACTGAGGTCCCAGGAGTCAAGGAGTGCTTAGCCACTCAATATATTAAAAGCAGAACTTAGTCAAAATCCCAGATGTCCTGCTGGGAGGCCAAGGCTTTGCCCATAGATCCCCCTTGTGTAAGGGTTCTTTCTCATACAAAGGAAGCTTCTAGACAGGATTCCCCCCCCTCCTCTTATCTGATGGTGCCAACATTCAGGAAGGGTATTTTGACCTTATATCATCACAGCAGAACAGAAGCCAAGGTCAGGAGAGATTTCTTAAGGCTGGCGAGTCCATGGATCCTGGTTTGGCTTTATTCCTTTTATTATGTTCTGAACATTTCCACTGTCATGACATAGGAACACTTCCTGAGAACACTTCTGAGAAAGAGGTAGGGCAAAATCTAAACCTAAAAAATGGATTATTTTTGAAATGCAGTCTGGGTCTTTTATCACCCTGAGTAATTATAACAGCTCCTCTCAAACTCTTAATTTCTTCTTTTTTTAAAAAACAGAGTATCTGGTGGCGAGTTGTTTGATCGGATAGTGGAGAAGGGATTCTACACAGAAAAGGATGCCAGCACTCTGATCCGCCAGGTCCTGGATGCTGTGTACTATCTGCACAGAATGGGCATCGTCCACAGGGACCTCAAGGTGAGGCCGTTGCTTAGCAACAACCCCCAGTTACTCCTCAACCCCCAGTGCACCTGTTCAAGAGGACTGATTCTGAGAGAGGAATGATGCTTTGAATAGAGGGGTGGGACACACTGCGGGTGTCTGTGTACTTTTAGTTGTCATTGCTTTGGGGGCCTAGAAGGAGCTTGGAACAAGATGAAGCACAATGTGGCTGATCCTTGTTTGGGAGATCTTATCACCACTATGGAACCAGAGGGCCACAGAGAACTGGGTTGTGTATTACTTCAAGCCCATCGGAAAGATCATTCTGTTCAAGACATAAACACCATCAAAGCCCTTAGCCCAAGTTTAGTTCTTCAGAGCCTTGTCCCAGTTCCAGCCCCCATTTCAGCACAGCACAGCACAGCACATGAAAGAGAGGGAGCAAGAGGCAGGCACCAGGAGAGGAGAGAGAGGGGACATGGAAGGTTTGCAGGAAGGTTGGCTAAATAGCTATAGGCACAGCTTTCTGCCAATGTCCTGCGGCTTCCTTCCTCATCGTTTTTTTATGAGGCTTTGACATGTTGACCCTTCATCCATTAGTGCTGAAAGATCCAGGCCTTCCTGTGGGTACCTTCCCATCACTTTCCGCTCCCCCGACCCAGGTCCATGTAGGTAACAAAGCATAGATGTCACCCAGACGAACCTGAGGAACACTGAAAAGCAGCAGCCCCGTCGCTGTGCTCTAAGTAGCTCCAAGCTACCCTAGTTACAGGTCCAGGCCCCAGAGCTAAATGCACCTGGCCAGAGAGAATCCACCCCAGCCTGCACACCCACCACCCATAGCATGGATATAAGGACCGTGTTGTAGCGAAGCCACACTGTACACCAACTGTGGGGAATCTGAGTCAATGTCAAGAATCAATCATAAATATTTGTTAAAAATGGAACTTCAGCATCTGCTCATTTATCTGTTTCTGGTTGTCAAGAGATAAAATGGTGTAGCTTTTCTTTTTATAAAAACTCACAGTTGGGCTGGGTGGGGGTATATAGCTCGGTGGTGGAACACCCTTCTGGCATGTGCAAGGCCCTGGATACACACACACACACACACACACACACACACACACACACACACACACCCTGACTCTTTGTGGAGTTTTCTTCTCTCCAGGTATCAATTTCTCTCTCTCATTTTTCCATTTTTCCTTGCCAAAGGCGATTTTAGGAACTTTTATTTTATTTTATTTTAATGATCTCTTTTCAGATACGCAGAATGTTAGCATGCATCAGAACTGGCTAGGAGAGTAGTGAAACCATAGCTTGCTGGCCTGGCCCAGAAGTCCTGATTCTGCCGGGCTCCCAGGGGCTGGAGGGCTTTCACATCTAAAGGGGTTGCAGGTGATGCTCATGCTGGTGTGGGAAGCTCTGTTGAAGAACCACTGGATGAGGGGATATGGAGATGTCAGTTGAGTTCTCTCAACCTTTGCCCTTTGCAGATCTCTTGATGGGTGAAATGGGCCATGAGCATGAGAGCTAATTTTCAGGGCTTGGAGGCTCTGCAGAGAGCCAAGGCCAAGCTAGATGAGCTGGCCTGGTGCCCCCAGGCCAGGCAGCAGGCGGGGCTTTCATTGCTCTCTTGCAGCTCCACCAATTCTGTGCTTCCAGAACACAGCAGGCAGTGTAGCTGAAAAGTTAGTGTTGTGACTGCAGGGATGTGGTGTGAGGGTCTGATTTTCTGTGCTTACTAGAAAAATAATTTCTAAGCAGATAAGCCACATCCAGGAAGAGCAGTGTTTATTTACCTCCTAGAAAGGCGGATGGGCTGAGTGGGAGATACTGCTCTTTGCTCCCATGTAATGCTTTTGGAGAAGTATTTGGTGCTCCCAGCCTGTGGCGCTTTAAGAACACCAGGCTTGTGGGCAACAGGAGCACACCTGTAATCCGTGACTCAGGAGGCTGAGGTAGGAGGATTGCAAGTTTGAGGCCAGCTTCAGCAACTTAGGGAGGCCCTAAGCAACTATGTGAGATGCTGTCTCAAAATAAAAACAGCTGGACTAGCTTCTCAGTAGTAAACCCCCCTGGGTTCAAACCCCAGTACCAAAAAAAAAAAAAAAAACCCAAACCAAGACAAAAACCACCATGCTTATCAATGTGTAAAGAACTTAAGCATTTTTAGTACATTTTTGTGATCTCTTTTTAGAAGTTCAGATGGGTTTGATATATGAAGAGGAAGTGGGGATTGAAAAATTATATTTTCATTAATATCTGAGAAAATTAAAACCATCTGTGGTCTAGGCCAGAGCAGTAGAAAGCTTGATGATGTTAATGAAAGATTGGTGCCCAACCTGAACACTACCCCCATGTGCAAATAAACTTCTTCCTCCTTCTAGAAAAGTGTTCTTGTGTCTCCTTGCCCCTGGAATCTACCAGGGCCAATCATCTGATCTTTTTTTTCAAAATGAAGGGACTGAGACAGGAAGTACTCACAGCTGCAACCTTGGTTTAGACTGGGGTTTCTCAGCCCCTGCACTACTGACGTTTGGAGCTAGTCCGTCATTTGTATGGGAGACCATCCTGTCCCTCATGTTTAGCTGCATCCCTGGCTTCTACCCAATGAGTGCCAGCACCATTCTTGGGGTCCTGACAACTAAAAACATCTCCAGACATTGCCAAATGTCCCCTGGGGAACACAGCTGCCCCTAGTTGACCATTACTGGTTTAAGAATGTGATTCTAGGACTGGGGATGTGGCTCAAGCGGTAGCGCGCTCGCCTGGCATGCGTGCGGCCCGGGTTTGTTGTGTCTGCCGATAACTAAAAAATAAATATTAAAATTCTCTCTCTCTCTCTAAAAAAAAAAAAAAAAGAATGTGATTCTATAGGACATTAACTTTATCCAAAGTATGTTGATTCAGATCTTTTTAAAGACTGTTAAAGGAATTGTTATATAGGGTGGAGACTGATATTGTACCTCGAGTATTGGCCACCAGTTGTCTTGCAAAGATGCTGTAATAAGCAGCAAAATAATCTTACAGGTGAGTCCAGGCTCTTCTAGAACTCTGGGCAGAATTATAATATAGTGTGACAAGATCCCCTCCCCATGCCACCCACCTCCACAGTCCTTCCACAGCCCTGGGCCTCCCATCAAGAATGTCTCTAGGCCTTCCAACCCTGCTCCTCGACCTCCACCCTGTAGGAAAAGTCTTGTTATCTTTCCCTAGACTTGAGCCGATTCAAATTATCCATCAAAACTGGGAAAGACTAGTTGATTGATCATCCTCAGGTGCCATTGTTCTTCAAAATAACTTTCTATTGACCCAAATGAGTCTTTTCTAGGGGGAATGTGTGGGGAGGGCCTCTTGGCTGTTTGGCAGCCCTGTGCCTGTCTTAAGTGTTGCTTAGCAGCCTGAGATGATCTGCCTCCCGCTCCTTCCTGCTCACCTTTACAGCTGTAGACATCCTGGGGTGAGGAAGATTAAAAATCAAAAATAGCAAAAGTCCACTTTATACATGTATGAGAGGATCCATGCTGTCCATCAACGGATAATCCCCAATCCATGTTTCAGAAAAGAGTATGAGCAACCTATACTTTTAGGTTGAGACCATCCCCCTCCCCCCAGTTCCTAAGCCTTATTCATATTTCAACTCCTGATTGGCCCATTTTATTTTCTTTTAAAATTCATCCTTCCACAAACATGATCTCATCTCAAGCTTTAGGCCTGTCACGGTGACTATTGAATCCTGCTGCTTTTTTTGTTGTTATTATTAGGGATGAAGGATACTGTTTTTTTTTTTTCCCCCCCTCTGGGTTGTTAAAGAACAAAATTCAGTCAACACTTGTTAAAGTGGTAAGGTAGCCCTTATCAAGACTTGGCATAGTTGAGAAGAGAGATGGAGCTCAGCTCTGGCACAACATGAGCAGGGGGTGTTCTTCCTTGCTTAGAATCCAGAAACAATTATGAGTGGGCTCCTAGATGAAAAAATTACTAAGAGGGGACATTGGGGATAGGGTGACTTTTGCAAAAAGTACATAACAAGATCTTTGCTTAGATAAGCCAACGACTTAGAAATGGACAACAACTCTGAGATGGGACCTGGGCATCTGGGTTTTAGATCTGAGATGGGCCCAGGAATCTGGAGTTTAGAGCTCTGGGTGGTTGGGCGACTGGGATTCTGATGTGCAGCCATTGCTGTGAAGAAATTCTGAGAACTGGCCAAGACTCTCCTTGGCCAAACTTTAACTTGGCCCAGCCTCATTCAGGCTCCCGAGTGCTCTCTCTAAACAGGCCCTGATCTTGGACTTTGGCCTTAAACTTAGTCCAGGGTTAGCAAGAATCCTCCTGAGTCAGTTTAGCAAAAATCATGTACCTGATATCTTATCTGACCAAATTCCTTAACCCCCTACCCACAATATATGTCCCTCTGGCCCACCTTTTGCAAAATCTCAGTTTAGCCAGAATCTCCCTTAGTTCCAAGGTTTCCTCACATTGCTGTCTCTTCCACTGACCCCACCCTCCTCCCGGGCTGTAAATCTCCACTTGTAGTATTTGGGGTTGAGTTTGATCTCGCCCTACTGCACACCCCCAATATAGCGGTAAAGAGTGCTTACCAACTTTCACAAGTGTCTGAATAATTTTTCTCTTTAACAACATGACAAGTGGAGGTTGAAGAACGTGATCAGATTCCAGGGGTGGAGGATTCTCCTATGCTGGATGAGCCAGAGTCTCGCTAGGACTGGGCTGTGCAGGGTGAGCTGGGGGGGGAGCCACAGGAGGCCAAGGTCAAGACTTGGAGAAGAGGTATCAGAGGAGCCTGACTCAAGTTTGGTCCAGAACAGAGCCTTGGCCAGTTCTCAGAACTTCTTAACAGCAGTGGCTGCACATCACGACCCTCCCACCACCACCCTGGAGCTCTGAAATCCAGATGTCTGAGCCCCATCTCAGATGTGCCATAGGACACATTCATGATGTCATTAATAACATTCTCAGGTGATACTGCCTCCCAACAGTGCAAAGAACCATTCCTTTTCTAAACTCTAAACAATAGAATAGTTCCTAAAATTTGATACTTAGGAACCAAAGATTCACTAGGAATCTCTGATAGGAGAAGCAACCGCTTCACCCTCAGGCTGTGGAGGAAGCCCGGATGGGAAATGTGTGGGGAAAGGATTTTCCTCCTCAGAATCTTCATGCTGTGTTTCCTTTAGGTTTCATGTAAATGAAAGCCATGATTATTCACTCAGTAAATCTTCATAATTGTCTTGTAGGGTGGATGTTCCTGGACAACATCCAAGTCCACAGTCCTTGATGTTATCATAGGGACAGCATCATTAACTAAAGCCACTCTTTTTTTTTTTTGGTGCCAGGAATTGAATCCCAGAGTGTTTAATCATTGAATCACTGAGCCATATCCCTAGCTCTTTTTTAATGTTTTATTTAGAGACAGGGTCTCACTGTGTTGTTCAGGGCTTTGCTAAATTGCTGAGGCTGGCTTTGAACTTTCGATCCTCCTGCCTCAGCCTCCTGAGCTGCTGGGATTACAGGCCTGTGCCATTGCACCTGGCTGAAGCCACTCTTTCAAAATTAAAAAAAAAAAATCAAGTTCGTCCTCTGTGTTCAGGTGGTCAGCTCAGTGACTAAGGACAAGCTCCGAGGCTGTAGGAACTCAGTCTCTGTGAGCCCTACACACTGAGCAATGAGATTCTCCAGCTTGACATAAAATGGACAAATGATGCTTCATTGTCTTCCCCTCTCAATCCCTCGGCTGCCTCCCCTCAGCCTTCCGAGGTACTCAGGCATTCCGGAACTGCAGTGAAGAAAGGAACACAGAAACTGTAAGAAATGTCAAAAGCACGCCTGCTGTCTGAGCTCTGTCCTGTGCGCTTCAGAGGAGCTACAAGCAACCCATGCTTTGTAGAAAGGCACACAGCATCTCAGAGTCTTTAAGGACACTGGGCTGGAAAGTACTGCATCTTCCAGCTCCAGATTTGTCGGAGTTGCCGTCCTTCTGCTTCCCAGGGAGGGAAGCGAGCAGGTGCCTGACAGTCTCAGCAGGCACTGACGCAGCCCATCTGCCACAACTACAGGACACCATGGGAGGATGCTGAGGACAGGGAGAGAGGCCCTGGGATTCGAGAAAAGTAGCGGGCAAGGGTTGCTAGTAAGAAAGGAAGACATGAGCACCTGCAGAAATGATTTTATTTCCTGTGAAGCCCCCTTCCTTAACCAAGAACTGAATCCTCAAGTCCAAGAGGCATCAGCTTCTTAGATGGCCTTAAAATATGGTTAATCTTCATGAGTAGGCAAAATACTCAACATCCTGGGCCAGATTCCCTGCCGCCCTCTGGACCATGCCTACCAAGGCTGCTTTCATTGGTGCACCTGCTGTGCCTAAAGGTCAAGGACTTTCTTAAGTATGAACAGGTTTTGCAGTTTGGTGAGGAGTTTCCCATACTTAACCCAGCTTTAAACATGATTTTTTAAAAAAAATAATAATAATTTTCATCTTTCTCTTTTTTCCTAGCCTGAAAATCTGTTGTACTATAGTCAAGATGAAGAATCCAAAATAATGATCAGTGACTTTGGATTGTCAAAAATGGAGGGCAAAGGAGATGTGATGTCCACTGCCTGTGGAACCCCTGGCTATGTTGGTAAGCAGAGCATGTGCACGTGTGTGTGTGTGTGTGTGTGTGTGTCCCCATGTCAACTCCTTGGGTCTTTTTAGGCATTCGAGTCTGGCACGTGATCACAGTGGCCTTCATTTCTCTTGAGGGAAGAATAAAAATATTGAGAGACCCTGGAACAAGTTAGCAGGGAAGTGATTTCCCCTGAAACCTTTTAACAGTCGAGTATAAATCCTATTTGATTTGATTGGGAGCCGAACTGGAGGCCTGCAATTAATTTGGATGAATTCCCGGATTCTAATACCAGAAATATTGCATGTATCTATTTTTGAGTGATTTACAGGGAAACATTGAGATTACAATGAGGTGCAGACACAATAAAACATTCAAAATGTTGAGATAGATGCCGCCAGAGAGGAAATATTGATACAAGGAACCTGGTTCAAACCAAGATAAAGTCATTCTCTTGAGATAGCCCATCCTGATCTGTACTGGCCACGCCAGGAATTATTCAAGCTTTTCCTAAAATCAGAACTGCAGATCCTGTGCCACACATACGAAATGCACAGAACGTACTGACAGATCTGAACGCTTGAATGCTGAGCTTCATCTTCTGTCTTCCGGGACTTGGAGGGAGGCCATAGGAACTATTGGTCATCTTTCCGTTACTGGAACCCACGTCTAAGAGAGTCAGCTTCTGAAGGGAAAAGATCTGTTTTGACTTAGAGTTTTGGAAGCTGCAGTCCATAAGCAGTTGGTCCTGTTGCTTTTTGGGACAGTGGTGAAGCAGCACCTCACGGGGGAGCCTGTGGGAAAACCATTCACCTCATGGCTGACACATGAAAGAGGAAGAGACTGGGGTCCGAATATCCCCTTCAAAGGCACATGACCAATGACCAGAACACTTCCCGCTAGGCCCCACCTCTCGTAAATTATCTATTATCTCCCAAAAGCACCATAGGCTAGTGACCAGATCTTTAACACAAAGGCCTTGGGGGACACTTCTCCACACCATAGCAAGAACTCTTGGTGAACATGTTGAGACCTTTGTTTATATCCATGTGTTCACTCGCTCAGCACAATGCCTACTGGGAACCCCACTTCATTCTGAACCCAAGGGTGAGGTTGTGAACAAGGAGGACACAGAGCCTACCCTCCCGGAGCTTGCTTTGTAGTTGGAGCAACAGAGAGAAACAAATAAATAGGACCATTTCAGATCATGAGTGCTAGGAGGAAAATAAAACTGAGTGCACACGGTAGAGTAACACAGGGTGAGAAGGAGTTAGGACTGACTTTAGGACCAGGAGGAGACACGGGCACTTATGTAGGTGACAGGAATAGGCCAGCCACGGGTGAGTTAGGAAGATGGGGTTCCGGGCAGAAGATGCACTTGTGCAAACACCCAAAGACAGGGTGTATGTCTCAGCCACATATATCTGAGAGCAAGGGAGAAAGGAGACTGGAAAATGGAGAACAAGGCTGGATTCTTGTCACACCAACCCTGATGGCCTTTCTCCATGAGGACAGTGGGTGAGCCCCCGGGAAGAGGAAATAGTACCCCCTGGCTTGCATCCTTCCTGTGCATCTTTGGCACCAACCATGCAACCTTCCCAGGGAACTAAGAAGAGTTGGCTTCAATCTCTGGGTCCAGAGGCACCAGAGCACTGTGGGAAATTCCCAGCGGACTTGCAGCCCCTTCATGGCCCTTTAAGGCCTGGCAAAATCAGGATGTCACGTCAAACTGGCAACTGTTTGATTCTCAGAGTAAATCAAAGAAAGGAAGAAAAGAGAAGAGGGAGAGGAATAGGTAGTAAAACAAGAGAAGGGAAGGGAGCAGATGGAGAAGGAGGGAGGCACATGGCATAGAAGTGGGAGGGTGGAGAAGCTGTGGGGAGCTCTCCCATGGGAGGCTCCTGTCCCTGGCTGGTGACTATGCACAGGAGCGAGAGCGGGAGGTGCTCGGGGGCTAGTTTTTGTTGTTTTTCTGGGACTGGAGATTGAACCTAGGGGCACTCTACTCCTGAGGCGCATCCCCATATCTTTGTATTTTTATTTTGAGATGGAATCACCCTAAGTTGCATAGCCTGGCCTTGAACTTGGGATCCTCCTGCCTCTGCCTCCAAGTAGCTGGGATTACAGGCTCATGCACCTGGTGCAGCTCTGAACATTTTTAAGAGGCCAGTGTAGCCGTGAAGGAGAGCCGCACACAGACAGCGATCTTTTCTCCCAGGATAGGACAGAAGAGAGGTGCTGGGTTTGGATTGTGGAGCGAGACATGTATGCCAGGGGCTGGGCAGAAATGCAGGCGTGTGTGGTGTGCAAGCAGCAGATAAAAATGAATGAGACAAGCCTACCCTCCGGCTTCTGGAAAAGATGGGCAGGGATCCTGTTCCAACCACAGAGAATTGTCGCCATTAGGAAATGAGAAGGCCTGTTAGGTCATGGCGGGGGCCCATCTCCTGGTCCCGAGGCTGTGTTCTTTTCAGCAATGTCCCCAGGCCAAGCTACTTTCCCCAGGCTGTGGAGCTCCTGATGTCCACTTTCCACTCCAGGGACTTGGCTCCTGGGCTGTGATTTAAATGTTCTGACCAGGAGTGTGTGTGTGTTTACACGTGCATCTCACTATTGTTCTCATTTTGGACTCTGATGTTGAAAAGCTCTAGCACTTTCTAGATTGATTTTCGCTCCTCTGCCTGTTGGCAAAACCCATGGAATAGAGGTTTCCATGTGTCTCTAAGTGACTGCCACCTGAAGGTCTGGTTCTATTTGCTGCTGTGTCAAGCAATAGTAATCCAGAAGCAATGTTTAGAAGGGTCCCCTGCTTTAAAGGGCGGCTGGGCAAGCCATTGCATGATTCTGTCATCAGTTACAGAGTTTTTTGTTTTGCTTTTTTTTTGTTTTGAGGAGATGAGGGAGAGGAAGACTGTGGGGGATATAGTAGCTTTCCAGTTTGTTCATATTTACTGAGCATTGAGACTCCTTGAGAGTCTGACCTTGTAGTGAACGTAGAGAGGGGACACGACTTCAGAGCAGAGAAGGGGCTGTTGGAAGAGCTCATATCCTCACTAACATCCCTTGGGCAGTCATAACCTGAGCTGGAGTCATTTCTAGCCCCCATAATCTGCATGGCAAGCTCCTATTCAACCATCAAAACCCAGCTTAAATGCAACCTCCTTTTAGCTGCTTCCTTCAATCCACATCCTTTCCCATCTTGTCCTAATTATTTTTCTTGGTCCTTTGCAGTATGGTGGCTCTGCTTACCTTGCCTTAGAGTTTATGTTTATCTGTGTCTCTCTCCAGCACCATGGGTTTTTTCTCAATCATTAATCAACTCTTATTCATCTCTGTATGGATACTTGTTGAATTGAATCAAAGCACAAAATTCATAAATATTAGCAAATTTTCTTTGTCTCCTCCCCTTCCATTCATGCAACATACCTTTATTGAGTTCCTACTGTGCACTGTATACAGTGACTGGGATTTGGATGCAAATCTGAGTAAGGTACCCTCTCTGCCTTCAAAATGTTCAGTGTTGTGAGAGACAGGTAGTCAGGTGAACTTGACAGTGTACATTGAGTACTACATTCGTCTTCCATGGAAGAATTATGGATTTCCTTCCATCTGTTTGAGGCACTGGCAATGCATCAGTAGAAAGAAAAAAGAGAAAACCAGACAAAAATCCTCATCTTTCTGGCCCTGCATTCAAGGGGGAGGGAGATACGCTATAAGTCAATAGCTGAGTAAATTAATGTATCTGTTAGATGGCAGTAAGCACTACTGGGAGAGATAAAGTGGTGGAGAGGATAAGGGTGTGCGTGTGCCTGTGTAGGGGTGTGATCCATCAGCTATCATTAAGGTGACACAGGGTAAAGATCTGACAGAAATGAAGGAGCTAGCTAGGCACGGTGGTGCACACCTGTAATCCCAGCAGCTCAGGAGGTTGAGGCAGAAGGATCTTGAGTTCAAACCCAGCCTCACTAACTTAGCAAGGCCTTAGGAACTCAGCAAGACCCTGTCTCTAAATAAAATATAAAAAGGGGCTGGGAATGTGGCTCAGTGGTTAAAGCCCCTAAGTTTAATCCCTAGTACCAAAAAAAAAAAAAAAATTGAAGGAGCTGACCATGTTGATATTGGAGAGAACACACCCAAGCACAGTATCATGGCCCTAAGGCAGAAGTATGTGAGAAAAGAGCAAGGACTAGCATGAACAGGGGGTGAGGAATAGAAGACCAGAGAAGTCAGGGGCAGCAGGTAAACTGGCCAGGACTTGGAAATCACTGTAGAGACTTTGGCTTTGGCTCAGGATGATGCCTAGCCATTGGAGGCTCTAAGTTAAGGGAGGACATGATCTGATTTTTAACAGGATCCTCCTGGGGTGGAGCCTGGAATCAGGATAGACGGCAGTGGAGAGGTGCCAGGGTGGGAGAAGAGAGACCAATTAGAAGGGCTGAAATAATATGGGCCTGGACCAAGTTGGTAACAACAGAAGTGATGAGACGCTGTCTGATTCCAAATATATTTCCAAGTCACGGTCGTGAAGATTTTCTGAGATATCGGAAGTGGGGTTTTGGTGAGAGAAGTCAAGGATAATTCGAGGTTTTCCAGCCTGAACATCCAGAAGGGGGGCTGTTGCCTTCAATTGCGAGGGAAGAGCCTGAGAATTGAGCAGAAGTTTGCAAATGAGTTTGCTTCTGAGTTGTGCAGATTGCTGGGTCACAACATTCTGGTCACAATATTTTCGTCAACTGGTCAGCGCATGACCTTGTTTTATGTGTGTTACCGTTAAAATCACTTTTTAAACACACTTTGTTGATTCATTAACATTGGAGGCAGAGCTGACAGCACTACCACTCGTGCCTGAACTAAGTTTGTCCAATGGAGGAATATTCTCCAGAAGGCACAGAACAGCCCTCTTGTTCTCAGAAATGCCAGACAGTTCTTCAGCTGTGTGCCCTGGGGGTTTCTGTCTGCTCCCAGCCTGGCACATTCAGATTTAAAAACAAATTTGTGTATGCCGTACAAAAAAA